ACCCCTTCCGCTACCGTTCTATTTCCCTTCCGACGCATTCGCCGGGAAATAAATAAATACATATTAATAAAATTAAAATTAAAATTAAAAATACAAAACCGGACTAAAAAGGGGTGCAACACGAGGACTTCCCAGGGGGTCACCCGTCCTAGTACTACTCTCGCCCAAGCACGCTTAACTGCGGAGTTCTGATGGGAACCGGTGCATTAGTGCTGGTATGATCGCACCCGACATATTCTCGCCTCCATTTCCCTATAAACCCCTTCCGCTACCGTTCTATTACCCTTCCGACGCATTCGCCGGGAAATAAATAAATACATATTAATAAAATTAAAATTAAAATTAAAAATACAAAACCGGACTAAAAAGGGGTGCAACACGAGGACTTCCCAGGGTGTCACCCATCCTAGTACTACTCTCGCCCAAGCACGCTTAACTGCGGAGTTCTGATGGGATCCGGTGCATTAGTGCTGGTATGATCGCACCCGACATATTCTTGCCTCCATTTCCCTATAAACCCCTTCCGCTACCGTTCTATTGCCCTTCCGACGCATTCGCCGGGAAATAAATAAATACATATTAATAAAATTAAAATTAAAATTAAAAATACAAAACCGGACTAAAAAGGGGTGCAACACGAGGACTTCCCAGGGGGTCACCCATCCTAGTACTACTATCGCCCAAGCACGCTTAACTGCGGAGTTCTGATGGGATCCGGTGCATTAGTGCTGGTATGATCGCACCCGACATATTCTCGCCTCCATTTCCCTATAAACCCCTTCCGCTACCGTTCTATTGCCCTTCCGACGCATTCGCCGGGAAATCAATAAATACATATTAATAAAATTAAAATTAAAATTAAAAATACAAAACCGGACTAAAAAAGGGTGCAACACGAGGACTTCCCAGGGGGTCACCCATCCTAGTACTACTCTCGCCCAAGCACGCTTAACTGCGGAGTTCTGATGGGATCAGGTGCATTAGTGCTGGTATGATCGCACCCGACATATTCTTGCCTCCATTTCCCTATAAACCCCTTCCGTTACCGTTCTATTGCCCTTCCGACGCATTCGCCGGGAAATAAATAAATACATATTAATAAAATTAAAATTAAAATTAAAAATACAAAACCGGACTAAAAAGGGGTGCAACACGAAGACTTCCCAGGGGGTCACCCATCCTAGTACTACTCTCGCCCAAGCACGCTTAACTGCGGAGTTCTGATGGGATCGGGTGCATTAGTGCTGGTATGATCGCACCCGACATATTCTCGCCTCCATTTCCCTATAAACCCCTTCCGCTACCGTTCTATTGCCCTTCCGACGCATTCGCCGGGAAATAAATAAATACATATTAATAAAATTAAAAATACAAAACCGGACTAAAAAGGGGTGCAACACGTGGACTTCCCAGGGGGTCACCCATCCTAGTACTACTCTCGCCCAAGCACGCTTATCTGCGGAGTTCTGATGGGATCCGGTGCATTAGTGCTGGTACGATCGCACCTGACATATTCTCGCCTCCATTTCCCTATAAACCCCTTCCGCTACCGTTCTATTGCCCTTCCGACGCATTCGCTGGGAAATAAATAAATACATATTAATAAAATTAAAATTAAAATTAAAAATACAAAACCGGACTAAAAAGGGGTGCAACACGGGGAATTCCCAGGGGGTCACCCATCCTAGTACTACTCTCGCCCAAGCACGCTTAACTGCGGAGTTCTGATGGGATCCGGTGCATTGGTGCTGGTATGATCGCACCCGACATATTCTCGCCTCCATTTCCCTATAAACCCCTTCCGCTACCGTTCTATTGCCCTTTCGACGCATTCGCCGGGAAATAAATAAATACATATTAATAAAATTAAAATTAAAATTAAAAATACAAAACCGGACTAAAAAGGGGTGCAACACGAGGACTTCCCAGGGGGTCACCCATCCTAGTACTACTCTCGCCCAAGCACGCTTAACTGCGGAGTTCTGATGGGATCCGGTGCATTAGTGCTGGTATGATCGCACCCGACATATTCTCGCCTCCATTTCCCTATAAACCCCTTCCGCTACCGTTCTATTGCCCTTCCGACGCATTCGCCGGGAAATAAATAAATACATATTAATAAAATTAAAATTAAAATTAAAAATACAAAACCGGACTAAAAAGGAGTGCAACACGAGGACTTCCCAGGGGGTCACCCATCCTAGTACTACTCTCGCCCAAGCACGCTTAACTGCGGAGTTCTGATGGGATCCGGTGCATTAGTGCTGGTATGATCGCACCCAACATATTCTCGCCTCCATTTCCCTATAAACCCCTTCCGCTACTGTTCTATTGCCCTTCCGACGCATTCGCCGGGAAATAAATAAATACATATTAATAAAATTAAAATTAAAATTAAAAATACAAAACCGGACTAAAAAGGGGTGCAACAAGAGGACTTCCCAGGGGGTCACCCATCCTAGTACTACTCTCGCCCAAGCACGCTTAACTGCGGAGTTCTGATGCGATCCGGTACATTAGTGCTGGTATGATCGCACCCGACATATTCTCGCCTCTATTTCCCTATAAACCCCATCCGCTACCGTTCTATTGCCCTTCCAACGCATTCACCGGGAAATAAATAAATACATATTAATAAAATTAAAATTAAAATTAAAAATACAAAACCGGACTAAAAAGGGGTGCAACACGAGGACTTCCCAGGGGGTCACCCATCCTAGTACTACTCTCGCCCAAGCACGCTTAACTGCGGAGTTCTGATGGGATCCGGTGCGTTAGTGCTGGTATAATCGCACCCGACATATTCTTGCCTCCATTTCCCTATAAACCCCTTCCGCTACCGTTCTATTGCCCTTCCGACGCTTTCGCCGGGAAATAAATAAATACATATTAAAAAAATTAAAATTAAAATTAAAAATACAAAACCGGACTAAAAGGGGGTGCAACACGAGGACTTCCCAGGGGGTCACCCATCCTAGTACTACTCTCGCCCAAGCACGCTTAACTGCGGAGTTCTGATGGGATCCGGTGCATTAGTGCTGGTATGATCGCACCCGACATATTCTCGCCTCCATTTCCCTATAAACCCCTTCCGCTACCGTTCTATTGCCCTTCCGACGCATTCGCCGGGAAATAAATAAATACATATTAATAAAATTAAAAATAAATTTAAAAATACAAAACCGGACTAAAAATGGGTGCAACACGAGGACTTCCCAGGGGGTCACCCATCCTAGTACTACTCTCGCCCAAGCACGCTTAACTGCGGAGTTCTGATGGGGTCGGGTGCATTAGTGCTGGTATGATCGCACCCGACATATTCTCGCCTCCATTTCCCTATAAACCCCTTCCGCTACCGTTCTATTGCCCTTCCGACGCATTCGCCGGGAAATAAATAAATACATATTAATAAAATTAAAATTAAAATTAAAAATACAAAACCGGACTAAAAAGGTGTGCAACACGAGGACTTCCCAGGGGGTCAACCATCCTAGTACTACTCTCGCCCAAGCACGCTTAACTGCGGAGTTCTGATGGGATCCGGTGCATTAGTGCTGGTATGATCGCACCCGACATATTCTCGCCTCCATTTCCCTATAAACCCCTTCCGCTATCGTTCTATTGCCCTTCCGACGCATTCGCCGGGAAATAAATAAATACATATTAATAAAATTAAAATTAAAATTAAAAATACAAAACCGGACTAAAAAGGGGTGCAACACGAGGACTTCCCAGGGGGTCACCCATCCTAGTACTACTCTCGCCCAAGCACGCTTAACTGCGGAGTTCTGATGGGATCCGGTGCATTAGTGCTGGTATGATCGCACCCAACATATTCTCGCCTCCATTTCCCTATAAACCCCTTCCGCTACCGTTCTATTGCCCTTCCGACGCATTCGCCGGGAAATAAATAAATACATATTAATAAAATTAAAATTAAAATTAAAAATACAAAACCGGACTAAAAAGGGGTGCAACAAGAGGACTTCCCAGGGGGTCACCCATCCTAGTACTACTCTCGCCCAAGCACGCTTAACTGCGGAGTTCTGATGCGATCCGGTACATTAGTGCTGGTATGATCGCACCCGACATATTCTCGCCTCTATTTCCCTATAAACCCCATCCGCTACCGTTCTATTGCCCTTCCGACGCATTCACCGGGAAATAAATAAATACATATTAATAAAATTAAAATTGAAATTAAAAATACAAAACCGGACTAAAAAGGGGTGCAACACGAGGACTTCCCAGGGGGTCACCCATCCTAGTACTACTCTCGCCCAAGCACGCTTAACTGCGGAGTTCTGATGGGATCCGGTGCGTTAGTGCTGTTATAATCGCACCCGACATATTCTTGCCTCCATTTCCCTATAAACCCCTTCCGCTACCGTTCTATTGCCCTTCCGACGCATTCGCCGGGAAATAAATAAATACATATTAAAAAAATTAAAATTAAAATTAAAAATACAAAACCGGACTAAAAGGGGGTGCAACACGAGGACTTCCCAGGGGGTCACCCATCCTAGTACTACTCTCGCCCAAGCACGCTTAACTGCGGAGTTCTGATGGGATCCGGTGCATTAGTGCTGGTATGATCGCACCCGACATATTCTCGCCTCCATTTCCCTATAAACCCCTTCCGCTACCGTTCTATTGCCCTTCCGACGCATTCGCCGGGAAATAAATAAATACATATTAATAAAATTAAAATTAAAATTAAAAATACAAAACCGGACTAAAAAGGGGTGCAACACGAGGACTTCCCAGGGGGTCACCCATCCTAGTACTACTCTCGCCCAAGCACGCTTAACTGCGGAGTTCTGATGGGGTCGGGTGCATTAGTGCTGGTATGATCGCACCCGACATATTCTCGCCTCCATTTCCCTATAAACCCCTTCCGCTACCGTTCTATTGCCCTTCCGACGCATTCGCCGGGAAATAAATAAATACATATTAATAAAATTAAAATTAAAATTAAAAATACAAAACCGAACTAAAAAGGGGTGCAACACGAGGACTTCCCAGGGGGTCACCCATCCTAGTACTACTCTCGTCCAAGCACGCTAAACTGCGGAGTTCTGATGGTATGATCCGGTGCATTAGTGCTGGTATGATCGCACCCGACATATTCTCGCCTCCATTTCCCTATAAACCCCTTCCGCTACCGTTCTATTGCCCTTCCGACGCATTCGCCGGGAAATAAATAAATACATATTAATAAAATTAAAAATACAAAATCGGACTAAAAAGGGGTGCAACACGAGGACATCCCAGGGGGTCACCCATCCTAGTACTACTCTCGCCCAAGCACGTTTAACTGCGGAGTTCTGATGGTATGATCCGGTGCATTAGTGCTGGTATGATCGCACCCGACATATTCTCGCCTCCATTTCCCTATAAACCCCTTCCGCTACCGTTCTATTACCCTTCCGACGCATTCGCCGGGAAATAAATAAATACATATTAATAAAATTAAAATTAAAATTAAAAATACAAAACCGGACTAAAAAGGGGTGCAACACGAGGACTTCCCAGGGGGTCACCCATCCTAGTACTACTCTCGCCCAAGCACGCTTAACTGCGGAGTTCTGATAGGATCCGGTGCATTAGTGCTGGTATGATCGCACCCGACAAATTCTCGCCTCCATTTCCCTATAAACCCCTTCCGCTACCGTTCTATTGCCCTTCCGACGCATTCGCCGGGAAATAAATAAATACATATTCATAAAATTAAAATTAAAATTAAAAATACAAAACCGGACTAAAAAGGGGTACAACACGAGGACTTCCCAGGGGGTCACCCATCCTAGTACTACTCTCGCCCAAGCACGCTTAACTGCGGATTTCTGTTGGGATCCGGTGCATTAGTACTGGAATGATCGCACCCGACATATTCTCGCCTCCATTTCCCTATAAACCCCTTCCGCTACCGTTCTATTTTCCTTCCGACGCATTCGCCGGGAAATAAATAAATACATATTAATAAAATTAAAATTAAAATTAAAAATACAAAACCGGACTAAAAAGGGGTGCAACACGAGGACTTCCCAGGGGTCACCCATCCTAGTACTACTCTCGCCCAAGCACGCTTAACTGCGGAGTTCTGATGGGATCCGGTGCATTAGTGCTGGTATGATCGCACACGACATATTCTCGCCTCCATTTCCCTATAAACCCCTTCCGCTACCGTTCTATTGCCCTTCCGACGCATTCGCCGGGAAATAAATAAATACATATTAATAAAATTAAAATTAAAATTAAAAATACAAAACCGGACTAAAAAGGGGTGCAACACGAGGACTTCCCAGGGGGTCACCCATCCTAGCCAAGCACGCTTAACAGCGGAGTTCTGATGGGATCCGGTGCATTAGTGCTGGTATGATCGCACCCGACATATTTTTGTCTCCATTTCCCTATAAACCCCTTCCGCTACCGTTGTATTGCCCTTCCGACGCATTTGCCGGGAAATAAATAAATACATATTAATAAAATTAAAATTAAAATTAAAAATACAAAACCGGACTAAAAAGCGGTGCAACACGAGGACTTCCCAGGGTGTCACCCATCCTAGTACTACTCTCGCCCACGCACGCTTAACTGCGGAGTTCTGGTGGGATCCGGTGCATTAGTGCTGGTATGATCGCACCCGACATATTCTCGCCTCCATTTCCCTATAAACCCCTTCCGGTACCGTTCTATTGCCCTTCCGACGCATTCGCCGGGAAATCAATAAATACATATTAATAAAATTAAAATTAAAAATACAAAACCGGACTAAAAAGGGGTGCAACACGAGGACTTCCCAGGGGGTCAGCCATCCTAGTACTACTCTCGCCCAAGCACGCTTAACTGCGGAGTTCTGATGGGATCAGGTGCGTTAGTGCTGGTATGATCGCACCCGACATATTCTTGCCTCCATTTCCCTATAAACCCCTTCCGTTACCGTTCTATTGCCCTTCCGACGCATTCGCCGGGAAATAAATAAATACATATTAATAAAATTAAAATTAAAATTAAAAATACAAAACTGGACTAAAAAGGGGTGCAACACGAAGACTTCCCAGGGGGTCACCCATCCTAGTACTACTCTCGCCCAAGCACGCTTAACTGCGGAGTTCTGATGGGATCGGGTGCATTAGTGCTGGTATGATCGCACCCGACATATTCTCGCCTCCATTTCCCTATAAACCCCTTCCGCTACCGTTCTTTTGCCCCTCCGACGCATTCGCCGGGAAATAAATAAATACATATTAATAAAATTAAAAATACAAAACCGGACTAAAAAGGGGTGCAACACGAGGACTTCCCAGGGGGTCACCCATCCTAGTACTACTCTCGCCCAAGCACGCTTACCTGCGGAGTTCTGATGGGATCCGGTGCATTAGTGCTGGTATGATCGCACCCGACATATTCTCGCCTCCATTTCCCTATAAACCCCTTCCGCTACCGTTCTATTGCCCTTCCGACGCATTCGCTGGGAAATAAATAAATACATATTAATAAAATTAAAATTAAAATTAAAAATACAAAACCGGACTAAAAAGGGGTGCAACACGAGGACATCCCAGGGGGTCACCCATCCTAGTACTACTCTCGCCCAAGCACGCTTAACTGCGGAGTTCTGATGGGATCCGGTGCATTGGTGCGGCTTTGATCGCACCCGACATATTCTCGCCTCCATTTCCCTATAAACCCCTTCCGCTACCGTTCTATTGCCCTTCCGACGCATTCGCCGGGAAATAAATAAATACATATTAATAAAATTAAAATTAAAATTAAAAATACAAAACCGGACTAAAAAGGGGTGCAACACGAGGACTTCCCAGGGGGTCACCCATCCTAGTACTACTCTCGCCCAAGCACGCTTAACTGCGGAGTTCTGATGGGATCCGGTGCATTAGTGCTGGTATGATCGCACCCGACAAATTCTCGCCTCCATTTCCCTATAAACCCCTTCCGCTACCGTTCTATTGCCCTTCCGACGCATTCGCTGGGAAATAAATAAATACATATTAATAAAATTAAAATTAAAATTAAAAATACAAAACCGGACTAAAAAGGGATACAACACGAGGACTTCCCAGGGGGTCACCCATCCTAGTACTACTCTCGCCCAAGCACGCTTAACTGCGGATTTCTGATGGGATCCGGTGCATTAGTGCTAGAATGATCGCACCCGACATATTCTCGCCTCCATTTCCCTATAAACCCCTTCCGCTACCGTTCTATTTCCCTTCCGACGCATTCGCCGGGAAATAAATAAATACATATTAATAAAATTAAAATTAAAATTAAAAATACAAAACCGGACTAAAAAGGGGTGCAACACGAGGACTTCCCAGGGGGTCACCCATCCTAGTACTACTCTCGCCCAAGCACGCTTAACTGCGGAGTTCTGATGGGATCCGGTGCATTGGTGCTGGTATGATCGCACCCGACATATTCTCGCCTCCATTTCCCTATAAACCCCTTCCGCTACCGTTCTATTGCCCTTCCGACGCATTCGCCGGGAAATAAATAAATACATATTAATAAAATTAAAATTAAAATTAAAAATACAAAACCGGACTAAAAAGGGGTGCAACACGAGGACTTCCCAGGGGGTCACCCATCCTAGTACTACTCTTGCCCAAGCACGCTTAACAGCGGAGTTCTGATGGGATCCGGTGCATTAGTGCTGGTATGATCGCACCCGACATATTCTTGCCTCCATTTCCCTATAAACCCCTTCCGCTACCGTTGTATTGCCCTTCCGACGCATTCACCGGGAAATAAATAAATACATATTAATAAAATTAAAATTAAAATTAAAAATACAAAACTGGACTAAAAAGGGGTGCAACACGAGGACTTCCCAGGGGGTCACCCATCCTAGTACTACTCTCGCCCACGCACGCTTAACTGCGGAGTTCTGGTGGGATCCGGTGCATTAGTGCTGGTATGATCGCACCCGACATATTCTCGCCTCCATTTCCCTATAAACCCCTTCCGGTACCGTTCTATTGCCCTTCCGACGCATTCGCCGGGAAATCAATAAATACATATTAATAAAATTAAAATTAAAATTAAAAATACAAAACCGGACTAAAAAGGGGTGCAACACGAGGACTTCCCAGGGGGTCAGCCATCCTAGTACTACTCTCGCCCACGCACGCTTAACTGCGGAGTTCTGGTGGGATCCGGTGCATTAGTGCTGGTATGATCGCACCCGACATATTCTTGCCTCCATTTCCCTATAAACCCCTTCCGCTACCGTTCTATTGCCCTTCCGACGCATTCGCCGGGAAATAAATAAATACATATTAATAAAATTAAAATTAAAATTAAAAATACAAAACCGGACTAAAAAGGGGTGCAACACGAAGACTTCCCAGGGGGTCACCCATCCTAGTACTACTCTCGCCGAAGCACGCTTAATTGCGGAGTTCTGATGGGATCGGGTGCATTAGTGCTGGTATGATCGCACCCGACATATTCTCGCCTCCATTTCCCTATAAACCCCTTCCGCTACCGTTCTATTGCCCCTCCGACGCATTCGCCGGGAAATAAATAAATACATATTAATAAAATTAAAAATACAAAACCGGACTAAAAAGGGGTGCAACACGAGGACTTCCCAGGGGGTCAACCAACCTAGTACTACTCTCGCCCAAGCACGCTTAACTGCGGAGTTCTAATGGGATCCGGTGCATTAGTGCTGGTATGATCGCACCCGACATATTCTCGCCTCCATTTCCCTATAAACCCCTTCCGCTACCGTTCTATTGCCCTTCCGACGCATTCGCTGGGAAATAAATAAATACATATTAATAAAATTAAAATTAAAATTGAAAATACAAAACCGGACTAAAAAGGGGTGCAACACGAGGACATCCCAGGGGGTCACCCATCCTAGTACTACTCTCGCCCAAGCACGCTTAACTGCGGAGTTCTGATGGGATCCGGTGCATTGGTGCTGCTTTGATCGCACCCGACATATTCTCGCCTCCATTTCCCTATAAACCCCTTCCGCTACCGTTCTATTGCCCTTCCGACGCATTCGCCGGGAAATAAATAAATACATATTAATAAAATTAAAATTAAAATTAAAAATACAAAACCGGACTAAAAAGGGGTGCAACA